GGTCATCACAGAGAGACAGACCTACTGACTAACCTATGGTTGAAATCCTAGGGCTTTTTCTCACCTTTTTCAAAACAATGAATTTTAGCCATACTTTTCAATGCCCTGAAAGTTCATTTCTAACCAGTTCATATCTGCCCAGTCATTTGTTTAACTTTGTCTGTTCTGATAACTTCGGTTCTTCTTATCTTATTATAACATAAAACGTTTGTAGATTGCAGCTCATTTCATTAGATACATTTTGTTTTTCCCGCAATAGATCAACATAGCTACTTTCTTGGAAATTAAATTAAAATTACTATGGTAAAAGCCTTATATCACAAACAACTTGCTTCTTATTAATATGGAGGTAGGAGAGATTAACCAAAGGGGTAACTGAGCTCTCATTAGGATTATTGAACAGAGAATTTGAGGTAGTGGCATTATCAAGGCAAAAATGGATACAAATGCAAGAGGAATAAAAAGTCAATCAAAAATAAAGAACATGGTCCCGAGGCTTTGAAGATACTGTATTGCTGATCTAAAAAGTAGACTCCATAAAACACACTGTAATTTAATGATATTACTATGCTCATCATCAGTAAGATAAGAAAACACCTGCTATGATCATGGTTCAATATTAAATGAAAATTAACCTGAAATAAACTTATTAAGTATTATATGTGGTATCAACTTATTATAAAAGCTTTATCCATCTCAGTACATAGGAATAGCTACATTAGTTACATTAGGCAGCAAGACTGCATTTATTAGGAATTATGATATATTAGGTTTTCTTAGTTACTGATTTACATCACAATGCAAATAAGAATGTAGGTTATTTAAATAAAACCCACCCTACTTAAAAATTCAAAATTACTGAATCCTATAAAAGTACTTTATATCATGTAAACTTAAGTATTACTTCAATAAACTTCAACAAATTACTGCTTTTTAAATTTTTATTTGCTGCTATTGCTATTAGTGCTTTTAGATAGTTAACAGATATTCATATACAATATGAATATGAATAGTAAATTACCAAAATCTAAGTTACAAAACTATTTAAAAAAAAAACTTCATAAGAACTTTTTAAAACAGAAAGTTTAAAGCCAGTTGAGTGCTAGCTTCAAATTCCAGCACCAAATTCCACCAAAATCTAAAAAATAGATTTTAGCTGCTGCTGTTAAGCAGATGTGTGGTACCCCACTGAACATCTAAATGTTAAGACAGATCACACAGATGTAGACATTCTTGCAAAACAAGACCCAAATTACAGAAGTCTTCCCACATCATAAGAAGTGAAGACTTGAACTATTCCTGGAAACTATCAGTGCAACCAATCCAGGGATGTGACATCTTACAAAAGTACTTATTCACCATCTAAACTATTACATTTTAAGGTTGGGTACTATTAGAATACTAATGGCACTTAGCACAAAATCCATACATGATTCTTCTCATTTCCTAAATAATAATGCCCCTTACAGAATAATTCCCAAAGGGCCAAGCAAAACTTTTCATTATTCAAATGAATAAAAAAGCAACACTAAAAGCAGTGCCGTGTCTATTTTCCTCAAGCATCTAAAAAAATATTACAATCAATAGAATAAAAAACCATTTAAGAAATCAAAGATGACAACTGGGTCAAAATTCCCCTATCTCTTTCTTAATACAGATCATCCATCACACAATGAAGCTATTTAGAAGGGAGTTTGAAGCTAGATTGAATTTCTGGAGTTCCTGGAGAACAGAATTAGTGTTTTTTTCCACCAGCTTGGCTAAATAGGGATTACCAGACATTTGCTTATGTTCATATTCTAGAATGCATTGTAAGAACTCAAGCCTTGTGCTAAGGTTAGGGTTCAACTCAATTATTGCCCAATTATTAACATTTCTTTCCACCTGGCTACTGCAAGAACACTGGATTGCAGCCTCTATGCATAATAAGACTAATCTAACAATATCAATTGTGCGTTCATCCATTTATCCTATTATTTGTTTGTTTGCCTGTATTCTGCCTTCGTTGTTTTTACAAATAATTTAAGGCAACAAACACACCCAAAACACCTTCTTCTTCCTATTCTCCCTCAACAACAACCCTGTGAGGCGAATTGGGCTGAGAGAGAATGACTGGCCCAAGGTCAACCAGCTGGCTTTCATGGCTTAAGTGGGACTGGAACTCACGGACTCACGATTTCTAGCCTGGTGTCTTAACCACTAGACCAAAATTTAATTTTAAGACACCCTACTTATTATCAGGGGAATGTCAACTAACAGAAGACATTCTATCAGACTGACATTGCTACTGTAGAAGCTGCAATGAGTAGATCATGACCTGTGTGTTTGAATACCTGCTTTTCCAGTAGTTCCAAGCACTTATTCTAAATGGAATGGAGTCAACAAGCAAAGTAGAATCACTGCAAAATATTATGTTCAGCCATGAGCTCACGGCTCCAATTACTATGTAACAGGGAAACCAAAGAGATTAATTTGTCTAATTATTCATAATGGTTGTCATGCACAAAGCCTCAGTCACTAATAATATCGTACAAGGCCCACCAATCCCACAACTTGAGATCAAATATTGCAAACAATGCAATATTACACTAGCAAGCAGATACAGGAAACAAAAGCATGGGAACCAGAAGCAGGAACTCCTTCTTAAGGAGCATGGGATTAATTTATTCATTGGGTTAGAAGACCATCCAACTCCACAAGACTCTGGAATTACTACTCCCAGTTAAGAGTAGCAGCAACAGCTGAACATCATTGCCTTCATATTAAGGGCAGCAATTTTACTAAGTTTGATCCAGGCAAACAATAAGTAGTACACTGCTAAAGTAGCAGAATTCATATCAACAGGGCTATAGGGATGAGCTCTGTTTTCTTACAATCTTATGAACCTCAGGGGTCATCTAGTCCAACCTCCTGCATTGTCTGTTCCACTGATTGAAAGCTTATACTGTACATTCAGGAAACTCTTGCAACGTTTAACCCACTGGTCCTGGTCCTACTCCCTCAAGGGACAGGGAATATCTACTTCCTCTTCTATATAAGAACTTTTCAGATATCCAGTGACTACTCTACATAGCCCCCCCATCCAGCTTCTCTCCTGCAGGCTATCTAGAGAGTGGTGTAGCGTTTAAGATGCAGACTTAGCGATCAAGAGCTCATTCCCCACCTCAGGCATGAAAGCCAAGTGGGCGACTTTGGGCAATTCATTCTTTCTCAGGCTAACCCATCTCACAGAGTTGTTATGGGGAAAACAGGAGGAGAAAGAAGAAAATCAGGACAGGATTAAAAATCTTATAAATAAGAATACCCAGGTCATTTAATAATTTCTCGTAAGGCTGGGCTACCAATAATCTCACCACCTTGGAACTTCTCCTGTGAATTCACTCACTTCTCTCCATCCCTTTTGGTGTTCAGAACCAGACACATTATTCCAAATGGTGTCTCGCCAGGATAAAGGAAAGTTAATTCACTTAATTACTATTTAGTTTGCTCTTTCTTGGTAGCAAAGCAAACTGTTGAATGAGAACAAGGAATCTATTGTTTTCTTCCTTAAATTATTGTTTGTTGTTTGGTTCATTAAATAAATCAATCAAAAATCACAGCTCTAAAAGAACAGGTAAATTGATCAAATTCAGAAAAGAATACAGTAAAAGCTACAACACATTAGAAATTTAGATGAGGTATTTCCCAATTCACATTGAAAATGGAACTCTGAAAATTTCACTAATTAACAATACAGTCTAATACATATTTACCTATAAGCCCCAGTGCGCTTATTATATGTTATGCCTAAATAAGTCTGCATAAATTGCAGCCGTATCTGGAGATTTTAGTGAATGCAAAGGCATTATCTTAAATTTTTAAAGAATATCTGCTTTATATCTGTATTATCTATTTTGCCCAATGAATTATTTTCACAATTTTTAAACAATGATTTGCAAGTGGCAAGGGCAAAAAAATACTCATAACTACTACTGTATTCCATCACTTTAACAAAGTATAGTTACTAAAAAAAAACTACTTTAATAGTCATTAGGATTTAAAGCCTTAAACTTAACGCACGCTTCCAAGCAATCCATACCATGACGTTAGAGACCCAGGCAAACATCCCAATAAGAAAACATACCAACAATTGGGTGCGATACATTTTTACCGTCAAAGCGCTACACGAAACACCCTGGCCAAGAGTTAGAATTCTGTAAGGCTAGAATAGCACGCAGCATGGGAGGGGCCCAAATTCTCTATTATGGGGTGGGGATTCCCCATCGTAAACAGGGATTTCCTCAGCACGTGTGCAGGAATTCCCTGAATCACTGAAAGAGAACAAGGTAGCCATTTATAGAGGTCAATTACGTGCATGCAAAGAACATGGAACACGTCCTGGGGTTTTTCCCACTTGCTAGTTCTATGACTCCACAATATTTGAAACATTTTCAGTTCAGCACTCATTTAGTGAAGAACATGCCCTTTAAGATAACTTACCAGTTTCAGACCCTAATTGTCCGAAACGTGTCAACTTTACGGAAGGGACAATTGATTTTAATGAACATAAGTAAAATGAACATTAGCACAATTATTTCAACATTCGATATAAAATAGGCGCAGCCTGGAAAGAAGTTCGTTTTTTGGGACAGAGGCATCATTTCCAGGGCTGCCCCTGAGCATATTTACTTCAGCAGTCATTCTGAATTAATTCAGCAGGGCTTACTCCATCATAATCATCTTTTACCACTGCAGCCTTTATAGAACAAGAAGGAATATCAAGAACAGCTTGATTTTTAACTGGCAGCTTGTGCATTCAGTGTCAGTGTTCCATATCCCAGGGAAACAGAGAAACGTTGTGAGCTTTTTACATTTAGCTAAAAATACCAACATCTGGAGAGTCATGCCCCTTTTCTCATTCCATCCTAAAAGCCAGACCAGTTTTTCTAAAAATGCAATTAATAAAACAAGCAATAGGGGTGGGTTTGTTTGTTTTTTAGGTTGGTTTTTTTTTTTTTTACCTTTGGAACTCTTCGCTTCCTTCTCTGAGGCCTTTTGTTTTCAGTTAGCACCTAAAGAAAGACATCAAACGGCAAAATAAACCCGGGTGAATAAGCCAGTCAGGTAAACCAAACCAGTTTTCCCCTTTTTCGGAAGGCTTCACAGGGCACCACCACCACGCAAAAGGACTTCTCCCGCGACTTAAAACGGGGACCGAGGAGCAAGTCAGCCGCAACACCACCACGGGGAAAAGAGGGTTAACCAGGAAAGAGGTGAGGGGGGTGAGGGGAAAACCCCCAAATAAACAAACCACCTTTCCCCCAGCTCAAAAGTCGGGGCTGAGGAAGGCTCGGCATTCTTCACAGCGAAAAGCCACAGGGTAGCAGCCATCTTGCTTCCTTCTGCAGAAAAGCCCTGTGAGGAGTGTGCACTTCTTCAGCGCGCTTTGGCAAAATTATGCTCATGGTGCTTCACAGCCACAGCGGCGGCAGCAGCGGCGGCCGCTCGGAGAGCGCAGCAAAACCTGCCTGCCAACGCTAGGGACGTGCTAGGCATGCCTCGCGATTATTACTACGCACGCACACACACACACACACACACACACACACACACACACACACACACAC